TTATTCGCGAATGTTTAAAGAGTTGCGTTGTATTTTTTTGGGTCATGTGGGAAGGAGAAATACGAGCAGTGGCCAAAAATACCCACTCATATTATATGTTAAGCCATCCAATAAGGGAATCATTACTCTACTATTCTTTCAATTTCAGTTGCGAGAGAGGTTCATTTAAAGTTTGAAATTATATTGAAAATCATACGAGAGAATTCAAATCAGACTCGTTCGATTTTGAAATCGCGCGTTTGATTTCAGACCATAACGTACCCCAGTCAGTTCAATTATCATTACATACCATCCCTGATACGTGTTACTCGTATCATTCTCAAGGCCATGTTCTAAGAGAAGCGGCCCTCAATGACACCGGCCATCTACCCCAGAATCTCCTACCAGCTGTCTACAGTAAATTTTCGGCTTACAGTATTAGCCTGCTTGCTTTGCATTTTGCTGCTACTGCAGCTTGCAGAGAGAGCATACATGACACTTTGGCCTACGGTTATAGCAGAAATTATGTTTACCCGCAGACTTTAGAGAGAACCTGTCAACAAGTTTGCTGAATAAAATGCAGTGTAAAATGCAACTCAAGTTACTATTTTCGGCTTTGGCAAAGCTACAACGGGGAGAAAGTAATCGGCACATTTTATAACTATGGATGCCAAAGTGGGCGTGGACCTTGTGAGACAGACGAATGCTATGCTATATTCTATATTTCAAAGGCATTTCCGCAGATGCTTCAAATTGCGCAGAATGCCTGGACATCGTTAGTTACTCATGGGCACTGAAGCGGGAAAGTTTGAATGCAATCGCGCCTTGAAAGTCTAAAATAAAGGAAGAAGAAGCCGAAACTAGCGCAGCAGCGTTGAGAGAACTCGCTTTCCCGATTTCCGGAAGCAATTGGTAGGAACCTAAGAACGGGTTTTTGAGGAGGAAGGGTTTATCTTCAATTAAAGCTTAAAAAGAAGAAGTTTGAAAAAGTGTAAGAACTATTCCTATAATTCTGAAATTGACCAAAAAAAAGGAAATTTTTTAGTGTGAGCGATTTCAAAAGTGATGTTTTAAAAAACTCGAACCGGCTCCCAAAAACCACAAAAAGGGGAAATGGTTATGGATATTACCGCTGCAGAAAGGAGAGAAAAAAGAGGAAAAAGTCACAACAGTAATTTCGTCTTTGTTAAGAGTAGAGTGAAGAGTGAAGCTTTTATTGAAGGGGAAATTAGAGTTAACAACCTTGTGGTTTCTTAGCTCACGTAGCTTTGCTAATGAAGAGCATTATTGACGAAAATTTTGAACAAAAAATTAAATAAATAAATAATAAAAGAAAAGATAACAACCATAAAACATAGCAAGACAAGAACACAATATACACTTAAAATTGTTTTTGTACAAATTCAATGTAATTTTTTATTCACCTAAATTTATGTTCAAAAGATCAGATATTTGTTATCTGTCGACACATCAGTGAAAAGCTGAAGAGGGATTAGTCACCCATGGTTTATTTTCAAATATTAAACCTGAATTTTAAAGTAGGGAGTACCTACCTAACCTTAATCTTCTCCATTTATGGTCGACAACGGTTTTCAAGCTCTTCATGCAAGTTGATTTTTCGAATACTTGCAAAATTCTTTGATCAACTGTAACTACTGTGGACTTCAATTCAAAATCCTTTCATCTAAGTTCAAATAAACGAAAGCGGAATTGTGTCCTCTTATTCGCAAATGTTTCAAACTTACACTACGTGAGAAACAAATTCTCTCGCACGCACCTCTCCGGTGTTATGATTCCCTGTGCGTAATAAAAGTTGGGTCAAACTTCTTCCTCGAATCACAGAAGATGCACAGTTGAGTGGAATAAAACTCGACTATCACGTCCCGTTTCCCTAAAATATGATCTAAGTTGGAACTTTAGATATAGTGTTCTGTATAGCCTTGACCAGCGAGTCCACCCAATCCGTGGGTGGCCTTGCACCCCATATTGATGCAGCCTTTTTCTGAGAATTTTCTTGAGTTTTCTCCTTCTTTGATGCAGTCGTGCTATCGTCTTTGCTCGTCCCTGGTTTATCTGACGGACCCGAGGTCGTTTTAGCTGAAGCCTCGTCCTCTTCCTCTTGGGTCCGCCTTCGCTTCTTCACGGGTCCATCATCTCCTTCAGTTTTGGCAGCGGATGACTCTTCTTTACCCTGCTGCTGTGAGGGAGGTTGTTCCGACTCTACCGCCGGTGACCGCAATTTGGCCTCTAATTTTTTGGCTTGATACTTGCGGCAGACCACCAGCAATTCGTTGAGACTTGGTTGCAACAAGGGGCTTACGTCCGACTTGTGTGGCGGGCGAACTGAGAAAAGTAGAGACATGGCCCGCAGTTCCTGCGGAGGAATTCGATAGAATAACATTTTTTTAAGTTGACTAATTTTAAAGAAAACAAAGTTTTACCTAATTTCATGATTTTCTATCTAAATAATAGGGGAAACCAGCCTACAATGGGAATTAATTGGCCAATTGCCTGCACACGTCAGTCTCAGAGTGAACCATATCACAATTCTCTTATCCACTATCAATGTTTCTTTCTTTGGTCTTATCTGAAGGAGAAACCTTCAAGTTCATACGTTTCTCTGTTCCCATCAAATTTTTTGCAGGATAATTTTCCAATATTGTAAGGAGAACGTATCACTATACTTATTCTGCCAACAGGTTACCAATTATGGACCAGAAGTTGGACGTTATCATAAAAGTTAGGTTAATCTGTTGCGCTGTAGTAAGGCATTCTATTCCCTAGTTGCACGAACTGCTCGGAACATTTCCCTTTGCAAGTCTTACTACGCTTTGTTTCTTTTTAGAAATAACAAGAAAAAAATTTCGACAAAAGAATTTGACTTAATAAGTTCTTACCGCAGTTAGCCTCTTAGCTATTGCACAGAGTTCAGTGTCATTTGCCTTCTCCGCTGCGGGTTTATCGGCGATTACTGTCGCCACCAGTGTCTGCACCAAGTTATTCCACTGCTTTACCAACACCTGGCTTGACACCTGGGAGAATACAAAATTGTAAATATTACATACATTTAACACCAGTTCTCTTAAAGAGAGAATGCAGCAACAGCAACTACTTAGGCTGTAGTTATTTTGAGTGACCACCGACCGTAAGTTTGTTAATTCAAAATATTGCGTCTAACATACTTTACTTCACAGGCGGAAGAACGTTTTTAGCTCATTTGCGGCCTGGTAGCCGGAATAAAGAACACTTACAAGACTAGAGAGATAATGCAAACTAGCAAAGAAACAAACACAGCAAAACAAAACAAACAAAGAAGAACACACATGAAAACAAAAACAAACATCTTATACTTACCCGCGGAAAAAAGCAACACAGGAAGGAATAGATGTCTCGCACATTGAGACTTTCTCGTTCATCCAGTAAGATCAGGTCCACATACTAAACAAACGTTAAAAAATAGTAAACTAACCAAGCTTAATAGTTACACACGGCTATTTTGCGTTGTTTTCTTGTCTCACTTTTCTTGTCAGCCTATCTTGTGCTGACCAATTGATGTACAAAATGTGGCTTCCTCATCAAGACAACGCTTGATTAGTGTGCTTTTCCTTTAACGGACTGAGAACTAAATAGCGATTTGTTTATCGATGAACTAAACATTGGTTAGGTGCAGCAAATAAATAAAGTCAAAGACACGGTAAGATGCAAAAAGGAATCTATTAACCCTTTGACCCCCTAGGGGTGACTAGCATCTAAATTCTCCTCACAATATCACCCCTAAATCACACATTAAGGTCATGAGAATCAAGGAAATCGTCACCAACTAAATGAAGCTGTTGATTGTTAAACAAATTCTCCTTGTCAGCACCTTAGGAAATGCAGAAAGAATAGTATGGAGAATATGCATACTGATGCTGAGGCGTAAAGGGTTAACATATGAGTGAGTGAGTGAAGGAATGAATAACTAAACCCAACCAAAGATGTTACTATCTATTGCTGCCTCTCCATTATTCTGTGATGGTAGTAAAAACTACGCACGAATGCAGAAAAAAAATAGGCCGCATCAGAAGTTACCTCGAGGAACTCGGGTTTCTGACATAGCTGCTGAATGTAGGTTTTGTATCTACCAATCTGCAAAAAAACAGCCACAAATTGAATGTGTTGGTGACCTTAAGCCGAATAATTAAAGAAACAACCGTAAATGAAATGTGTGGCTACCCTGTGCAGAATGCGTAAATATAAACAGTGAAACAAGTCCACGCCAACGTAAGCAACACGACACACACCTCGCCAGCCTTCTGATACACTTCCATCCACAGACTGCTGAAGAACGTGAAGTGAAGAGGGATGGCTTCTATCGCCAAGAGACAACCTATAACAAGAGTATAAGCGTGAATTCGACAGTAAGCTCATTTATCCACCACATCACAAAGAACAGTAGCCACATGTACACATAATGACCGGATTCATCTAAAACCTTATGCTTGAGAAGAAACAAAATTGTTGTAACCGAAGAATGATTGACCAAGGCGCCAAAATTGGTTTCGTGCTAAAGGCTGTATAGTGCTGAATTAATGAACAAAGGGGATTTGAAAGAATGGTAAAGATAAAGATAATCGCATTGTAACCCCTGAGAAACACCCGGCACAAGAGGCTATAAAAAATGGCTCAGATTTGTTCAAGTATCTGTATGAGTTGTTGTTGTTGCTGTTTATTTATTTATTTTTTTTTGCTTCATACAAAGCTTCTTCTTTGCGCTTTTTCCAGATATATTGAGATAATTGCAAGCCATGTTAATCTTTGCCATCATTTAGAAACCATTCTCGTTTCCTTTTGGCATATAAACACCACATCGGAGTTTTTCTATACAAATAAACAGCCATACAAAGGTTTAATGAATATTATTCGCAGTCTCCCTCGTAGCCTTTTATTGGCCGTGTCGCGTGATGCATCAGGAGGAAACGTCTGGCGTAACATGAAAACGAGTCACGCAACAAGACCGAACAACAGGTAGAAAGGGAAGTAAAGTGTTCTCTGTGACGCTGTTTTTGATAAAATAAGATACATGAAAAAATTTCTCAGCTCTGATTGGTTAAGATAAATGCAGTTTTCAGGTAATTCAATGCAGAAGAGTGTTGATTCAGTGCAAAGAAGTAACAAACCAGACTGAACAATTACTTGAACTGTTTAGCCAGGCTTTGAACTTTCTTGCGCCTTAAAGATGTGAAAACATCATAGTATACTTCTGCATAATTATGATAAGCTATCTCCTATTTTTTCTTGTATATTATTAATATGTAATCACATTATTTTTCTCGTGCAACGTGCAAAAAAAATGCGCTTGTAAATTTTTTCAAAGACCACAAACTGCACTCGCCCTACGGGCTCGTGAAATTTTGTTAGTCTTTGAAAAATTTAATTTACTCGTGCTTATTTATCCCATATCGCATTCGAAATCATGTGATTACCTATACTAATATCTTGAAGGAGTCTATGACCTTCAAACACTTACTGCACGTGATGACATGTTCAGGGACCCTGTCATGACCGAATCCATAGCGCAACAGTTTATCCACGAAGTGGTGATACGGTTGGAAGTACTCTGCAACTGCTGTGTCATACAACTCCTCCACTCCCTGAGAACATCAAGTACACAACAGGTCAGCGACTTTGCTAATACTAAGATCAGAATGAATGCTGGGATTGACTCTATCGTATTCCTGTGATTCACCTCCGTGGTAACTCCATGCGATTACCCCAAGTTAGAATGGTGAGTCAAAGAGTATCGGAAGGCGGTAATTACCTTTGGCGAGTCCAGGAATGACGGATGAAGGAACATGTTAAGCTCAGGCACAGCGGGCCTCGCCACAGACTTGCTGCTGACAATCATCTTTGAGTGTCGACGAGGAAAGTACGGACCAAGGAGACCTGGTGATTGCACCACATGTGGTTAGTGCAGTTTATTTCTTTTTAAAGGCCAAAAGTAGAAGAGAAATAACCGCTTAACATGTGCACTTGTCGTGATGAAGGTTCAAGTAACTACACACACCTTATCAACTGCCAATTACGTCTCTGTATGTATATTTGCGAAATTAAGTCTCGAGAAAAAAAATCTGAGAGAACTTGGGGTTCGAAGTCCTAGTTTCCTTGTCGCTTTCCAAATGACATATTGCAAAAGCTCCAAACGACTTCTAGTCAATGTCAGGACATGTGAAAAATCGTAAATACAGTTTTCCAAGCTGAATTGGTTTTCTTCCAGTTGGGACGCAAAATAAACAAACAAACAAAATTACAAGAAACAAAACATATACTAAGGACTACAAAAGAAACATATTACTCTGCGTTTCTTAAGAAAGAAACAGTGAATTAGAATGAATCGTGGACTCGTAAAAAAACGTTCTTTATGGCTGTTACTAAAATGATTTCAAGATCAAGTGTTCAAACGTCAGTTTTAATTAGTACATCCATATGCCCTCGTCTTACCAACTCTATTCTGGGAATTTATATCACACTTCTAGAAAACAGTTACCAAACGCATGTGATAGTCTTTTTCGTTCCACCGAAGCAGGAGAAGTGTGATCAAAACAAAAGCTGAGGGAAGACCTGGGACTGAAAGGAGACTTAAGTTAGCCCACTTCTCGTGCTTTTCTGAAGGGGAACGAAAATGACTGCTACGCAAGTTAAAACTAACCTGGGGGAGAAGTTTTGTTCCAGTGCTGATGAGAGGCACTTATGATGGGAATCAGTGCTTCTGTGATGTCACCGGGGTACAGAACCAACATAGCGTTTAACACATCTGCGGATCACAATGGATCACTTTGTCAAATACGGGATGTTATATAGTGGGGCACTCATTGAGATGGAAAACGAGGAACAAACTTGAGGGCTCTATTGCATTGCTAACCAAATTTTAACCCCTTCTAAATACGTACGTGGGCAAATTTCAAACGAGACTTTTTTACTTTTCTACGCTCCGTGACTACCTCAGAAAACTAGACGGCGTCGCCTTCTCAACCAACCTTATACGAAACGAAAACAACTTAGCCACTCGCGCTTCAGCGAAATTCCTGGTTTTTAATTGAAGCTCTAACTGGCTCGTGATATGTTCCTTTGTCCAGAGTGGCCATTTTTATCACAGTAATTGGGTCATAGTGGCCCTTTCCACAATAACGTCGCCCACTGAACTTGTGTTCACATATCAACTATGATATGATCAACACTTGAACCCACGCAGCCGGTTGTCAACAGGGCAACGGAGCTTTTATTATCGCGGTGCCAAACGAATAGCCTTTCGAAGGATCTTCAGAAGATTAGGGAAATCAAAAACTTCAAACCTTAACACCCTAACATCAATATACATATTCTCCATACTGTTCTCTATACATTTCCTAAATGTGCCAGCAAGGAGAATTTGTTTAACAATCAAAAGGTTCTTCAGTTGTTTATCATTTCCTTTATTCTCGTGAACTTGATGTTTGATTTAGGGATGATACTGAAAGGAGAAATTAGATGCTGGTCACTCTCAGGGATTAAAGGGTTAAGGAAAGAATATTTGACCACAATTTAATGAATAGACATCATTGGCTTTTGGTTTTTTATTACGATTGTAAATACTGTAAAGTTAGTTGTGTCTGAAAAGCCCTGTTAAGGGAGACCCAATAAAGTGTAAGTGAATGTAAGTGTGTGTAAGTGTACTATGAGTGCTGTTGATCAACGATAAGGAGAGGAAAGTCTTTCATCCGATTGCATTTTGCTGATATCAATTAAACACAACACGCAAAAAGACTTTTTCGGTTGAGGGTCATTGAGTGCTGTTGGGAAAGTATCCATCGATCGATATGACTTTACGACTTACCCAGACAGGACTGCCTGACTTCTTTTGGTGTGTAGGTATTTAACAGCGAGAGAAGTTTTTGGGCGACATCAAATCTCTCTGACCATCCTAAAATACTACTGCGAACGTCTGAAAGACACAAAAAACAACGCTAAAAACACGAAGACAAGAAGTACCTACTCTACGAGAAGATACAGGTAACGTCTAGTTTCTCAAATTCTACATTTAAACATAGTTCAGTCTTGCAAGTCAAGTGACCCAGTTCATAGCGGAGCTTATCCTCGTTGTCCTAACTTGAAATGACTGAGAGTATTGCCTCAGAAGCAATCCCCAACCAAGGCTGGTATCAGGACCTTTAGGTCTAGAGTATGCCCCAAACAACAAGGGACTCGGCACTTAACTGAAGAATGCGTCTATCGAAAAGATATCATGTACAGTCTAATTAAAGATGTATCGGCTAGAAGACAAAAGTGAGTATTTAATACCTTGTTTATTGCTATGCGGCCGACAGCACACTAATAAGTTGTGTAAAATCATTAAAACTTCCGTCAGGTCTCCTGTCACGTGACAAGCTGTAGCCTCATGGTACATCATGTGAAGGGTTGTAAATGCCTGTTGAGTAATTTGAGAGAGAGAGGAACTTTATTAATAAGTTATTGTCTGTTGTTGTTCCTGTAACAGATTTGACTGGAAACAATCACGCAGCTACACGATCGATTCGAAATTCAGCCTTACGTCAGACAGCGTGAGAAGTCCTTGGTTGACAACCACGGTCAGTCTGTCCTCATCCGTTTGAAGCAAGATCTTGTACGCACTACAATGAAAAAAAAAAAAGATTCTTTAATAACGATCTATTCCACTTTTTTGAATCTAGGCTTGATAACGACACGAGTGTGACTATGACATGAAATAGAGGCAGTATGGTAAAGCCTCACTTCCATGCATCTCACCTTCGTACCTTCATTTCATACACTCAAGCCTCGCTATCACATTACTCGCCCAAGTCCCTCCTACACAGACCCCTGTACCTGATAAGTGTCGTCCACGACGCTCCTCCGTCCAGACAGTTCTGGTACAGGATAATGGTGTCTCGTCTGAACGATGCTTCAAAGGCTTCTTCTTCTTTGCTTTTCTCTTGGGGCGGATCAGGGGAAGTAACGCCAGCAAAAAGCCTCATGAGGGCAAAAAGCTCCTCGACTGCCTATGACACGGGCAAACCAAAACACTTGTCAAGCAATTCACACAGTCTCATGACGCTCAGGCAACACAAATTTGCAGCACACTCTTCATTTCCTGCTTTACCAGCAAACCAAAAGGGGGGACTACTAATTCTAAGTACTGCTAATGTATGGTGGGAAATAATTCCCACAATGCCTTACTGTGCAAAAACGGGCAAGTTAGGGAAAACATGCGGAGGAAAAACGCGCGGCTTAGCCTGGTACATACCTGTGGATACTGGTTCATGCGTATGGTGAGATTTTCAAAAGCCCATTTCATGTTGGAATGCACAGCCAGTTGGTGAGTGAAAGAGCGGGAATGCTCACAACACAACCGAAGTAGCCCATAATATGCCGGAAGTACATTTCTGTTAAAGTTTACAACTTCCGGTTCATCACTGGAACTGAAAACGTACAAAGATCATCACACGAGTTAATGGTGGCAGCCAACAACCAGAGCGAACATACACGAATTGTCATGAAAACCAAAGCTATCACATTCAGTGAAGAGGTTAACGATATAAGAAGCCAGGACGAACTCAAAAGAATAAACAAATGAATAAAGGGGGTAAGTTTCTAAAGATACTGTGGTCTTGGAGAGTATAACGGGGTAATTTAGTATTATCAACTGAGATGTTAACGTAAATTGGCCACCGTTAAGAGTTTCAAAGCTGACGTTTCCAGCGTTAGCCCTTTGTCAGAGCGAATCGTCGAAACGTATTTCGCTCTGACGAGACGAGATACCTAATTACTCTCGAAGAATAAACAGGCAAACTGACTAAAGCGCAGGAAAATAAGAGTAAACAAAGCCAGGATTGGTTTAAGTTTTGCATCAAAAGATCAGACCAATCCCAAAGCGGAGTAAACCAAATCCACAGCTATGTCGGATTACCCTCGAAACTCAAGTGAAAATGACCCCACAAAGGTTACTAATATGACCAAAAGGAAATCAAAAGTCTAAATTAAGAGAGTCACTTACAGAATGTAGTTGAGCGGTATGTTGGCAGCCACGCTGCTGTTTTCCGTGATAAAGTCGATATTTTTCTCACAACTAATACAAGCGTGAAACCAGAAGATCAACAAGGCCTGAGAATTAACAAACCATTTAGTGCATGAGAAACTTACACCCTTTTTGTACTTTTAAACGTTCGATAGCCATCTCATTAGAAGTAAGGCTCAAGCAGATAAAGTTTCAAGCACTTAGGCATTCAGGTATTTCGACTTATTATCTATTCATTCATTCATTTATTAAAAATTTCAAAGCTAAACTAAGTTTCTGTTGGACGAATGCAAATGCTACGTAAACGGAACCCTCCCGACAAGAAACTAGAACAAAGCACTGTAGATTCCGCAAATCAAAAAAGAAAGGAACGAACGAACGAACGAACAAAATTAGCAACTCAAAAAACAGTGCGATTTTTTTGGAACTTTAAAAACCTGTTATTAATTCTGCCACCTTTTTAACAAGTAATCAAAAAGGTGAAATATGTCCCATATATGGCCCAACTCAGTAGTAGAGTATCGGACCGTGAAGCTGAAGGTCTGGGGTTCGACTTCTTGCCGAGAAACCAGATTTCTCTTTGTTCCAAGCTCGTGACTAACACATGACGTATTTCAATTTTCGACGACCGGGGTCGAGATATACCATCTTTCTTTATTCATAAATCACCTGTTTGTTAGGATGTACTGCGATATTTGGTTCTGACATCAATGGGTGAAACAGCCGCCACAACTCTGTACAGAATGGCGTGAACTACGAAGAAGGATAAGGATAGTTTCATTAGGGAAGTTTACCAAAAGGCGTCTCCGTTTCGGACGCATGCTACCATATAACACAATCCAAAAGGCGTATTAACAAGGAAACTTTGTTCATACCATTTCCTTCTCCGTTTTTGACACAAGGCAGTAGTTTAACACGGCAAAATAGCTGACAAGTTTTGTGGTGCCATGGATGTTTCGATCTACGTAACCAAACAGGACAGAGAGACAGAAAGAAAAGTTATCTATTGACTACATTTACTAAAAACGTTACTGGATTATTTTCTTTGCTTAAAACAAAAATAATAACAAAAGCAACAGCAACTTTAAATCTTCTAAAAATTTAGCGTTCTACATACCACAGTATTTCCTGGCTCTTGGAAGAAGGTTAAGCAACATTTTGTAAATCTGTTTAAAGTTAGAGGTAAAGGCGAACGATTACAAAAATGAAAGGCAAAGACGAAGTACAACATAGGAGTAATAATGATAAAATAAAATGTCATACCTCATGAAGTATGGAGAGAGCATCCTTACTCAACTGAAAAAAAAAATAGAAAAAAAGGATATTCCTGTTAGAAAATGACCGAATCTGAATGCGCCTGACCATTTAATTTTGTAATTCACCTGAATTACTAACTGAATTGGAACCAAATAGATATCTGGAGGAAAATTGGATTTGAGTCTTAAAGTGAGAGGATTAGCTGAACTTCTAAAATATTTCACCATATCTGATGAAATTGCATATAAGAACTGGAAATAGCCGAGGGAAAAAAAATTCGTTAAACGCATTTCTTTCTGTTTGGTTGCTTAAGAGCGGGGCGAGTTCTTTCCGTCTATTTTTTTAAAGGTCAAGATCTACTATTCTTTACGACTGACACTTAAACTTTGTGAATTATAGTTACCACCATTTCCTTGTGCGGTGCAGAAAAGCTTCTTGATCTGAGAAAAGAAACAAAGGAAATGAACCATCACGATTTCTTACCACAAAAACTATAGCAGTATCAGGGATCTCTTCTCTTTATAAGCGATTTAAAGCAATGGTAGACAATAAAAACGAATTTTGATTTTGATAACCTGTGTTTTGAATTCTTAAGTCAACCCACTGCAAAAGTTGCGAAAATTTCTGACACAAAAGTGTTTTCTATTGTTTTACTTTACAAATCTAACGAAAAAAGTTAAAAGTTTGTAAAAAAAAGCCACTTGAAGTTTCCCCATAATACAAGTATTTGGTCGTACAAAAGCTCGATCCGCGTCCGTTTCAGATAGATGACCACCGAATAGCCGTTGGTTCGTTCTATAGTGAATACTCTCAGTAGCACTGTAGCATAATCAGCGAAGCCCGCGAGAGGTCTATGAGGGGTTTGTTCGGAACCCTCCCAGACCCCTAGCGCTTTCATTGCACGGGCTTTGCCCATCGTGTCGCAACGCCAATAACAAACCCACTCGTAAGCAATGATTACGGAGAGACATGATTGTGATTTTGTCCGGTGTTCCTTGCAAAGCCTGATTAATATGGGGTCCGTTTAACCGAAATGTCATGATTTAAGACTGCCCTGACAGTCTCGATGGGACGGTTTCAATGTAACACAAAGCTGTCCCTACCTGAACCCTTGTCTGAAGTGACTGTTAGGCACAAGGCTTACCAGAAGATATGCAGAAGCTACAGATGACAAAGAAAGAACAGACACTCTGAGAAATACTGCTGGATGGAAGAGGAAAACGACTTACAAAACCTGACAGGGTAAAACTTCACCTAACTTACGGTGCACAGTTACGAAGTTGCTGATTATTAAACTATACTATCTCATGCTATACACTCTCATTTAGCAAAGGTTTCAACAACGTTTTCCCTAAGCAGCTGTTGTTGGTGTGATTAACGGCTGTGCCTGGAAATAGGCCTTAACTCTCTGACCCCTAAGAGTGACAGGCATCTGAATTCTCCCTACAATATAACCCCTGAATCAAATATTCAGGTAACGAGAATAGAGGAAATGATCACCAACTAAAGCAGCTCTTGACAAGTTCTCCATGTCAGAAACTTAGGAAACGTTTAGAGAACAGCATGGAGAATATGTACAATGACGTTAGGATGTTAAGGGTTAAGGCGAAAACGCAAACGCGAGAGCCTGCCCGCAGGCTAAACGGACGGCGGTAGGGGGTCTCAAGGGCAGCGGTAGACTGCCAATAACCAGCTTTTATTGAAACCCGGATTGGCGAAGCATTGAGTTTTGAGGGAACAGATTTTTTTATTCTCCGTCAGAACAGCAGAACATTAACAAGGAAGGCAAAAGAATATTCTTAAATTCTCTCGCACGCTTAGTTACAGCATACTTATCCTTCTACTCCGAAAGCGGTAAAATTTTCCAGCTTTTTATTGAGCGTTTCTCTTTCCTACGCGAACTTAATTTTGCAGTCATAACGTCATTGGTTGATGATTATGGCAGCAAACAAAAACTTCCAAGTACAGCGGTCTTGGCACGAATTTTTGTCACGTTATATAAAATGAAATCTATGTTAAATGATTTAACTCACCATTTCTAAGCCTGAGACTGTTGTCAGCAATAAGATACTTTTCCACCCACTTATCCATGTTTTCCAATACCCACTGATGAGCCTACCAACAAACGGCAAGGATAAGTTGACGGTATTCACAATCAGTACGTTAACACTTTCACTGCCAAGATATCATTAGTACCCTCACACAATTCTTATGATGTCAGTTCGGAGAATTAGGTATTGAATCAACTAGTAATCTCCATGTGAATTTTTCTCTATTCTCATAACTTGACTGCTTGATATTGCATTGACTTTGTAAGGAGAAATTCTCTCTTGGTCACTCATGGGAATTAAAGGGTTAATCGGAAAGTTCGAGCATAAAAAAAAGAGTAAAAAAACAAACAACCAAACAAACACATACCATCCTGTTTTTCGGAGCCATGCACGTTAGCCAGTCTATACACAGAGCAGCGTTGTATTCGGCAGCCTGCGGAAAGTCAGACAGACGCAATTATCCTCTTGTCAATACACAAGCGATATTTTACATTAATACAGCGTTATTCCAGAGACTCTTCCGAAGACAAGGAAGTCTTCTTTCTTCGGTTAATTCGAAAAACATATCACTGAAAAACCCAATCCACACTTCCAATTGTTTGGTTTTTTTTTTTAACATTTATACGAAAAAGGTTGCCAACATTTTAGCTTTAAGATATACTTTAATTATTCTAGGCTATGGAGTGTGGGCAAAAGTTGAACCCTACGTTATGAATAAATAAAAGTAACAAACACAAACAACAACAATGAAAACTGCAAGAAGTAGCTTACCTCCCAGATACGTGCAAGGGTCAGGTTGGTAAAAGATGGCATGCCAGGTGGACCCCCCTGCATCTCTGTCAACATCGATAGTAACTTGAAGAATGAATGAGACTGCTACAGAGGGGGAGAACGTTTAAAGAGAACGTTTTAAAAAAAGTTCTTACCAAAGGAACTATTCTGATATTTATTAACTGCTCAGTTTGCTACGTTTTACTAACCTCTGGTGGAAGCTTTTGCACTGAAGACATCAGCAGAGAAATTATCTACAAAACAACAAAACGAAATGAAAAATCTGTTCGTGAACGTGTGAGATTTCAGCGTCTTTTATTAACGAGTGTCAAAAATATAAAGAACAATTCTGCTTCTTGAAAACTGCCTGAAGCCCGAGAAACGAACGTGGCCAGGTTATGATTGACATTACGTTGGCATCTGATTGGTTACAGAGGAGGTGCGAGGCTTCTAAATCAATCACAGAGCAACGCGAAGGTTGTTAAGACACGTGCAAATCGCTGACTCACGCTTTCCGCTAGCTTGAGGTTGTATCTGCACAAACTAAAAATCAGGTTGGTTGTGTGGCGGAGGTTAATACTGTCTTTGATGGCATGGAAAAGGAATGGAAATCCCTGAGGAAAAAGAAATAAAATAACATAAGTAATCATCAATTGATAATGAGTCAGTTACGATACGTTGAACAAAGCGTAGAGCTACGAGTTAGTAAACGAACATACCCCTCCCATGTCGGTCTTTCCGAAAAATAACGTCAGTATAAATCAACAGGGATAAACATAGAATATTGCCATACCTTTCCACCTGTTAAAGCAGCCATGTCATTCTCTGAAAGATGCAGTTGCCTGATATAAAGCAAGAAAACATAACGTTATCGCACG